TGACTTTAAGTATGTTAGAAAAGAAAAGGCTAAAAATTAATGAACTAGTCATCTGTGGTAGCCAGCCTTCAAGATCCCCACCTCCTGGTATTTACACCCTTTTGTAATCCTCTCCTGCCTTGTACCATGTTTCGTCTGTGACCAAAGGAATTTGGCAAAAGTGATGATGTGTCATTTCCAAAATTAGAAAAGACACTGTTGTTTCCATCTCAGTTACTCTTTATTTTCCTGGATCATTTGCTCCGGGGGAAGCCAGCTGCTATGTTGTGAGCAGCCCTATGGAGATGCCCATGGTGTGAAGAACTGAAGTCTTGCCAACCACCATTTGAGTGATGGGGAAAGTAGTTCCTCAAGCCCAGTCAGGCTTTGCTATGACTGCAATCCTAGTTGATGTCATCCTTGCAGTCTCATTAGAAACTCTGAGCCAGAAGAAACACCCATCCAAGCTGCTTCTGAATTCATGACCCTAAATTATAAGATAATAATTGTTTAAGCTCTTAAATTTAATTTGTCTAGTTTTTTATGCAGGAATAGATTATGAATATATCATTCATTTTAAGAAAAGAACAAAATAAACCCCAAGAAAGTAAAGGAAATTGTACAGTTTTTTCTGCAATGTGGAAATTCTCAAATTTATTATGTTTATCTTTCAATTGTTGCAGGAAATTTATAAGAGTTGACATTTATTAAGGGATATGTTTAATTTTAATAAATCATCATATAACATCTTGGATTGAATAGCATTAACACAGTCTGTATCTGGATATAGTCTTAAGAATCTTGAAGTAAGATTGAGAGTAAATAGCTCTTTTTTCTGCAAATCTTTCTAATAGTCATGGTGGTATCCTAGGAAATTTTAAAGTTTATTGCAGAAATTACTCATAATAAAATACTGGATGTAGAAAATATTGATCAGTAGCTTCTAACGTCAGATATGTACCTTCCAAAGGACATATATAACAACACCTATGTAGTATTTTTTGTCAAAAAAAAATTGAACCTAAATCTGATAGTCTCTAGATTACTAATTCATAGGAAATACAGAAGACTGAGTAACATAAGGATATACAGTCAGCAAAATCCCTGTTGCGAGACATACTACATCACAAATGACTCAGTGTCTTCGACAAATAAATTAGGGCAAAAAAGAAATGTAATAGCAACCTGTAGGTTAAAAAAGACTTTAGATACATCAACCAGTTGTAATTTATGGAATTTATTTGGGTCCTGATTTTATCAAAGGCACTTAGGAGTGAATCAGGAAAATATGAACACTGATATTAAATAACTACTAAATTTTTAGATGTGATAATATTGTCCTGTTTTTAAAAGATGTCTTTTTAGGGACATATGTTGAATATTTGTGGATGAAATGAATTCTGGTTTTGCTTCAAAATAATACAGTTGAAGATGGGGATGGATATAGGTGAAAGAAGATTGATTATGCATGGTTTGATAATTGTTGGAGTTGAGTCATTATACCATTCTCTTTTATGTATGTTCAAAATTTCATTAATGTACTTTTAGAAAGAGCAGACATTAATGAAATAAACATAATGGAAAGGACCAACCAAATGAAAAGTAGGTTCTTTGATAAAATTATGAAATTAAGTCAGAAAGATAAGGTTTGTGGTGATATAGGTTTTGGAAATTGCATATATATTCACGCCTCCCAGTGCCATTTACAGGCATATTTCATCTCAAAGATAATATATTATTAAAAATTTTATTTAACTTTGCTTAATTAGTGCTTCTCAAACTTGATTAAGCACAGCCATCTTTTTCTTTTTTAAACTGATCCTAGCTTAACTCTTACCCTCTTTTTGTCCATTAACTTCCATTTTGTTCCTGCTCATGGTTGAAATACAGTGTAGTAGAAAGAGCACAATTGGATTCATATATCATCTTGCAATTTAAACCCAGCACTATTGATTACTAGCTGTATGATTATGGACAAGTTATGTATCCTTAATTTCCCTTTTCTAACCTTTAAAATGGGGAAAATGAAACCTTCTGGATAGTCATAATAAGTCAATGGGAAGAGATAGGTAGGTAGATAGGTAGATTTATATAGATTGTCTATATATATATATTTTAATGCCTGCTATAATACTTAGCACATAGCAGATGGTCAAAAAACTAACAGCTTTACTGCTTGCTAAATGAAACATTTCCAAATTTGAGTACCATTTCTTAAAGTTGCTTAGCTTCCTAGGAGAACTCCGTAGTTGCCAAACACTTAGTAGTCCTGACCTTTAGATTTTTTAACCGGATACTATAGAGTTCCTAAATAAACTATGAGGAGAACTGCATTAATTCTTTATGGCATTGTGAGACTGTTTTGTTTCTGACTTTTACAGAGAGATAACCCTTTGCTTTATTAAAAAGGAACAATGATTAGGAAAACTCCAGCTACTTTTATTTCTGGAGTCCTATCCTGAATGGATAAATGAATGAACAAAGGAAAGAATGACATACTGGTTGGAAATGACAAAAGCAAGTAATGAAACCCTTGAGAAAATTTCTCACAAGATAGTTCTTTTTCTGAAATATTTCCATCTTATTTCTCAATGATGATGTAGCTTGTGGCAATTTACGATCTGATTGTGGAACAGTATATTAATAGAAAAACAAATACACAAAAGGTCAGCAGTCTGCATATTCTGGGAACATTCTTTTAGGAATTCTGATTTGTAGTGTAATGCTTTTATTTTAGGGAAATAAATTACTTGAATTCCCTTTATCCAAGAGCAGTTTCTATTTAATGACAAAGTAAGACTCCTAAGTATCATATTGAAATTGACTAGCATACAGAAATGTTAAGGAGGTAAAGGAAACAAATTTAAGCATCATTTTTAGGATGCAGTTTATATTTAAAGTATTTCTGATGAATCCATTTTTTTTTTCAAATCAGCTTTGAGACTTACAGACCATAAATGCACAAATTTTAAGTATAAATTTGATGAGTTTTTATACAAGCAAACATTAATGTAATTACCACCTTAATCAAAAAATAGAAAATTTCTGTTACCAGGGAACGTTCTCTTTGTGCCCTTTGGTAGTCATTCTTCTGAAAGGTAGATAATGATCTAATTTCTGTCACTAGAGCTTGCTCAAGAACTTTGTATAAGTGAAATCATACAATGTATATGCTTTAATGCCTGACATCTTTTGCTCAACATGTTTTGAAAATTTTATTTGTATCAATAGTTCATTCATTGTTTTGGGGGATTAGCATTCCACTGTGTGAATATAGCATATCAGTAAACCTGTTCATGGAATTTTGGTTTGTTTCTAGCTTTTAGCTATTAAAAATAAATCTTCTATGAACATTTTAGTGCAAGGTTTTTTGTGGCTATGTTTCACTTCTTTCGAGAGGAATGGCTGTGCTATGTGGTAAATCTATCTTTAACTTTAAAAGAAACTGCCAAACTGTTTTCCAAGTGATTATACGATTTTATACTCACACCAGAAATGTGTGTTCCAATTATTCTACATCTTTACCTACACTGGCTATCGTTAGTTTTTTTTAATTTTAGCCATTCTAGTGGTTGTGTAAGGTTGTTTCATTTGATTTTAATTTGTACTTCCCTGGGTAAGTAATGATGTTGAGCATGCTTTTGTGTGTTCTTTAGCCAGTTGTGTATCCCCTTTTGTGAATTGTTTGAGTTTTTTGCCCCTTTTTAAATTGAAGTATTGGTTTATAGGAGTTCTTTGTATATTGGTATAAGTCCTTTGTCAGATATTTGTACTGAGAATATTTTCACCTGGTATATGGCCTTATCATTTTCTTAATGATGTCTTGATGGGTAGAGGTTTTTAATATTGATTAAGACCAATGATTAATTTTTATTTTTTGGTTTGTGATATTTGTGTCCCAGGTACAAAATCTTTGTCTACCCCAAATTTGCAAAGGTATTATCTTACATTTTATTTTAAAAGATGTTAGTTTTTGTTTTATGTTTAGGTTAATGATCTATCTTTGATTTTATTTTATTTATGCATTTTATATTTCTTATTAATTCATTGAACAAATATTTATTGAGCACTTGGTCAGTACTAGGCACTGTTTTAGGCACTCAACAATAAAAAGTCGCTCATGTGGGCTCTTAGATAGTCCCTGCACTTGTGAAGCCTACATTCTAGGGGAAATGACAGGTTAATTAATAAATAAGTAAATTATAAAATGTTAGAAGGTGAGAAGTAGTTATGACATGGACAACAAAATAGGGTAAGGTAAAGTTAGTAAGAAGGTTTGCAATTTTAAGAATGGGTGGTAAAATTAGGCTTCATTGAGAATGTCGTTTAAAGAGTGACTTGAAGAAGATGATGGAATTAGCCATTCAGCTATCTGAGGGAAGAGTTTATGGATGAGAAAACAGCTATTACAAAGGCCTTAAGATGGAAGCATGTCTGGCATGTCCCAGTAACAGCCAGCAAGCCAGTGTAGTATAGGGTAATAGTGGATAAGGTCACAGAGGTAGGGGAAGGAAAGTTGTTTAGAATTTTATAGGACATTGTTAAGACTGTAGCTCTTTGTGTGAGTGACAAAAGCAATTTGAGGGTTTACTATACTTAATACACATTTTTTCCCCTCTCTTTAATTCCCCCCCACCCCACTTCCACCCCTGACCTATAGATGTTGCCATCTCCCCTTAAGAATTGGATCTCTGAAGGCGGGGCATCTCCTCCCACAAGCTCAGGGCCCTGCACCCATGGCCTGGCGCACCCAGGGTATGGTCCATGGCTCCACCTGGGGTGCAAACCCAGGACCTTCTGCATGTAAAGCAGACATGCTAACCACTACACTATGGAGCCACCCGTTAATACACATTTTAAAACAGGACATATGTCTTCCTAAATATCACGTAGAGATTTCATTTTATTGCCTCTTTAGATTTGTCGATTTATATCTGCTTAATAGGAGTAAAAGCTGTTACCCCCCTCCCCCCCCCACTTTGACAGGTACACATAATATTCTAACTGTTTTCTTATTTCAGAAAGATCCAGATTACCTGAAGCTATGGCTGGACACTTTTGTTTCTAGCTATGAACAATTCTTAGATGTTGACTTTGAAAAGCTGCCTACCAGGTATACAGAAACACTTAATTTCTTACTCTTTGGGTGAATTTGTTACGTTTTGGCACAAAAACTTCATTGGTGACATAAATAAGTTTGGCAATTATGTGACACACATGATACTCCTGTGTAACCCTGCTCTCATGGCAGACATTGTTAATTGATCACAGAGTCTTTTTTGCTGTACTGGATTTGGCTTCTAGAAGCCTCTTTTCTACTTTGGTGAGCCATTTGCAACTAACTGGGTGTCCTGCAATTCTCTTGAATTCTGACACTTCCCAGAGTTAGCACCAGACCCCGGAAGTTAATGGCAAAGTCCTCCACAAGACTGCCTTTACTTCAGACACTGTTTGCAAGTTGGGGAACCACCCACACTTCTGACCAACCAGCTGTTAATTTGGGGGTTCTCACAACTCCATCAGTTTCAATAATTTGCTAGAATATCTGTAATAAAACAGATTTTTTAGGATTTGAGCTTAAAATTCAGTTCCTTTGTGAAGTATTTTCTTCCTGTATTTCAACACCCATCTTATTTTGTTCCCCTTGTATTGTAGGGTGGATGATGTTCCTCCAGGAATATCTTTGCTTCCTGACAATATTCTGCAGGTTCTGAGGATCCAGCTACTATACTGTGTTCAGAAAATGGCAGATGGGTTAGAGGAACAGCAACAAGCCTTGTCAATTTTGCTTGTCAAGTTCTTCATTATTCTTTGCAGGTATCTGGTACAAATAAACTAGTTGTCTGTTTTAAATAGTTATTACCAAAATGATAATGTATTTATTGATTATTAATGGTGTTTTTATATGGAGCATTAAAAGATAAGTGTACCTTTTGCAATAGGCTTGTGGTTTTATTATATTGGAAAACCTTCTAGTTACAATACATAGTTATTGAAAGATTCAGCCAAGACAAAAATAAATTTGCTTTAAAGTGATGACAATGACAGGCATTTTGACCTAACTCAGAATTTATTGCATTGGTATTTTCTATGTAGTCCTTGTATATACAAACACACATTTTTACTGCTGTACATTATCATTCATTCATTCATTCATTTATTTATTTTTTATGGTGCCATTGGTTATTGAAATCCAGTAAGTTTCAGCTGTACACTTTAACAGTAAGGCATATATATGTTTACACTGTGTATTCACCTCCCGTAGTTAGATTTCTTTCTGTCACCACATATTTGACCCTCTTTACCCTGTCTACCTCCTCCCTCCTCCTCACCTCCTACCCTCTTGTAGCCACTAGTCTATAGTCCATGTCCATGAGTCTCTGTTTGTTTGTCCTGTTTATTTGTTGCTTTTAGATTTATATCCCACATATAAGTGATATCATGTGATTTTCAACTTTTTCTGTGTGGCTTATTTCGCTTAGCATGATTATCTCGAGTTCCATCCGTGTTGTCACAAATGGCAATATTTCATCTTTTCTTATGGCTGAGTAATATTTCTTTGTATATATATGCCACAACTTCTTTATCCATTCATCTACGGATGGACACATAGGTTGCTTACATATCTTGGCTTTTGTAAGTAATATTGCAATGAACACAGGAATGTGTATATCTTTTTGAATTAGTGTTTTTATTTTCTCAGATAAATGCCCAGAAGTGAATTACTGGAGCATGTGGTTGTTCTCTTTTTAATTTTTTGA